ACATGGTTTTAGATTTTGGTTGTTGATCATATTTTAATTAACGTATTGATTAAAGTTAGTTTGGGTGGCTTACGGTCACGTAACTCTAACCCTCTTGGATAAAATTAAATCTTTTAGTTAGATCTAACTAATTTTTATTATTTTGTAGAATTAAAAAAAACTTGTATATTGCATACACTGATCGTAAAGGTCTTTTTTTCTTTGTTTCATAAGATACTTATTAAAGATACTCACATAATACTTCAATCCAAATATTTGAACGCATAAAAAGGAAAAAATAGTTTTCATTAATGTAACCACAATAAAGGTTTTTGAAGAATGTTTAACGAAGGAGTGCACTTTACTCGGCATGTTTGTTTTATAATTATATTTTCTTATCATTATATTTTAAGTTTTTTTAGCGTGGTTCATTTTAATTGAACTAATTTGTCGTTTTTGGTTTTGTTTATTTAATTTTTTTTTTGTCGTTTTACTTTTAAATCTTTAGTTATGGAGTTACTAGAACTTGGTTACGTAACGTGGTTAACATCGCAAAGTAATAATTATAACGTGATATTACCGAAGGTTTTTGAAATAGTTTTGTATAAATAGTTAAATCGTGCTAAATGGCTTTTTAATGTTTATGTATTATGTTGGTATTCAAGTTCGTACCAAAGGTTTTACTGCTTTTAACATTTTTTTTTATAGTGTTATTTTTTCTTATTAATTTAAAATATTAAATTTACATTGAGTTAATTTATAAGTATAAAGTTATTTAACTTACATAATTACTCGATGTATTCTTAATTATACGTATACTAACTATCGGATTTCCACGATAACTACACTAAACAATAACTTTGCTGCGTTTGTTACATATTTAATAAAGACATCATTTAATAAATTTGAAAAAAAAAATTTATCCATAAATACGCCACTCTTCTGAATTAAATTGAGTATGATGTTTTCATTCTTGAAAACGCTTAGAAATACTGTATTACGCGGGATCGGGCGCATAGCAACACAGCAATGTGAAAAAAAAGTGGGTGCTCGTTTTATCAAAAAAATATAAAGTGGGTGCTCGTTTTCAGTGGCGGGTTAAGACTTCTTGGGGCCCGGGGCTATTTTTGTTTTGGAGGCTTTTTTATGGCCAGAGCCTAAAAATAACTATAGAAAAAAAAAAAAAAAAAAAAATCCTCTAAAATTTTTGGGGGCCCCTAAACTTGTGGGTCCGGCTATAGGCCCCTTAGAACCCCCTCCTTCTTGATCCGGCACTGCTCCTTTTAATAAAAATCATCCTTATATACTGACAAGAACATTTTTTGATTAAAAAATCTACAAAAGCACTGGTTTACTAAAAGTACTTTGTAAATATAAAATGCTCTAACACTACAGCATTCTTGTTGTCAGTTTTCATCTTTACGAAGTATGTATGTATTATCTTAACGAATCAGTTTTTATCTTTACGAAGTATGGGTAAATTCTTCTCATACTTAGTAAAGATAAAAACTGATTCGTCATCTTTCTATATGCGTAACAATAAGATACATAAAAAACAGAAAACTAATCTTGTTTAAATTAGACAAAGTGATCTTGTGTGCTTCGATAAAACAAAACACAATTTCTCAATTTGAGTTTCGTTTTACTTTAAAACTTGAGTTTTAACAAGACGTATTATATCCGTATTATAACGATGTTTTTCAAACTTTAAAAAAACAACACATTTTTGTAAATGATTATTATATAGATTTTTTATATTCATAATAAAAAAACATTTTTAATTTTAAGTACTAAAAACATTTTCCAGAACTTTTTAGCTGAGTTGTATGATGTTAAAGATCATTCTGTTTATGACGCAAATCTTTTGGACCAGCTATTAATGATCCTCCATGCACATAATTTTTTTTGCATGATAACTAATAAATTAAATATATACAAAACCTTTGCAAAATTCTTCCGGAAATAATTTTTCCATCGAAAAATTTACGAAATATAATGCAAACAAAAATAAAAACACATTGAATGCATAATAATTTTAAAGAAATGTGTCGTAAGATGATGTTTTACGTTTAAAAAGATACCTCCAAATTTTTGCTTTTTTTAAAATCGTGATAACATTTTATAATTAGTCAATATTTCTAGTAAAAGTCAATATTTTTTTATTCAAAACATTAAGAAATCAAATGTGTATAAACAAAAAAACGTACCTTTGATATTGCCGAATCCTTACTAAAAATAAATTTGTTTGTAAGCCTACGCTTTTAAGATGCCAAATTAAATATTAGTTAGTATGGTAAAGAACCAGCGGTTTTAGGCTATAAAACCTTTGTCTCAGATCTCTGTCTATGGAGTTATATAATAGAATAAATCTTCCCTTTTATTTTAAACAAAAATAAAATTATTTTTTTAAAATCAAAACGTACAAGATTAAACGTTTTTTATTTATTTTAATTTTATGGAAAACACGTTTGTCGGAATATTGAATATTCACGTCTATAAAACACGTCTGTCGGAATATTGAAAAAACCTCTGTTTCAACTACTAAACACTACACTTAACACCTACTCTGTACTAATGCAGTAATACTGCAGTATATTAGTTGTACTGAGATGTACTAGTACTTAAGTCTATTACCCCTCATTTTGCTGATATTTAAGAAAAATGATCATAACTTTTGAAAGTTAAAAGATTACCCCTCATTTTGCGGATATTTAAGCAAAATGAACTTTTGAAAGTTAAAAGATAATCCCTCACGGTTAGCCTTAACTAATGTTAGGTTTTTTGAATTGTGTCCAAATTAATTTTAACGTTTTCTGAAAGAGTATAGTTTACTTATCACTATGTATATAGTCCACCAAATCAGAAAACTCCTATTAAGTAATTATGGCGTTTTAAAGATTTTTTCGCGCCTTTTTTTCGCGCCTTTTTTGCAAGTGTTTTGCGCCATTTTTTGGTCCGCCATGTTTTCATTCAAAATTTTGTTGTTAATTTTAGTTAAAAGTTAAAGACAATTTATTAGCAATTAATAATACAGAAGGTATTTTGTTATATTACATTGTTAAAGAGTGGATAATCACATAATCAGAATGTTTTAAATCATCAAACGAACATATATTTACAAATATAAATTTAAAAACTATTACTTCTCGAATTGAATCACTAAAAAATATTAACATTTGATCAACATTTCCAAGAGAAACAAGATGTTTTCCATTATAAGAACTTAATGCCCTTACTAAATTATGTTCATAATTAGAATTATTTGCGGACACCTTGTAGTGGTTCCATGAGGCAGTTTTGAAGAGGTAGTGAACACTTTCTCCAGATTGCTCCGAATAAACTCCAAGGCCCATTTTTTTTGTTTTACAGAATTCAGATACATGATTGAACAGAATATGGAATTTTGGTGTTAAAGTAATACCATGTTCTAACATCAACTTTTTATAGCAGGCTTTTAAATTTTCGATATTAGTTTGAAAGTTTTCATCAAGTCCGGATCCAAAGCAAGACTCAACAACTAAATTTAATAACCTTAAGCATTCTCCAAAAGTTTTTAGTTTAATTGGCAGCTTATCATAAAACACTTCCCACTTTTTAAGAATTTTTCGAGAAGAATTTCCATTAAATTTTCCACCATGCTGACCAGTCTTAATAATTTGCAACTGTTCATAAATCTCCTTCATACTCATTTCCGACCAAATCTGCTCCATGTTATCCATTACATGATTGACTGTTCCCTCCATTATATGAAGCTCCGGTAAAACAAGTCTATCTATAAAAAATTCAGAGGGGTTTCCATGTACTAATACAGGGTTTATACAATTCTTAAAATGTTGTGCACACAGGTTTTGAACCAGATTCTTTGAATTTTGGATAGTTTTCTTGACAGCTCTCAAAGGTTCTGTATGGAGCATTTTTTCAAGCTTCTCTTCTATCCCACTCACATACATAACAGGGATGAATCGAACTGCTACTTGGAGATATACCTGTCAGAATTCGACTAAGTTTTATGTCGCATACCCCAATGTGCTCAACTTTATCAAGATTTAGTTTTACAAATAATATTTTAATGTTAAAATATCTTTCTGGTATCTCTGGAGCTACCAGAAAAAGAAATGAAGCATTTACTGACGAATCTTTGAATTTCTTTATTAGACCATCTTTATATGAACCCCTGCAAGCTGTTACAGGTTTTGTTTTAAGGTGATCTATGTCAAACTTGCCGTAATTTTCATTGATATCAACTATGTTTAAACAAAATTTGATAAAACCACTTCCCCCATCAACAGCAATTTTAAACAACTGATTCTTAGAATCAACACATTTAAGATCGAGGAGTAGTTTAACAAAAAGAGTAACATCATTGCAGTACGCGACTGTAGTATTTTTATATTCCAAAGTTTTATCTTTATTTTTAAATTCAAATAAAATATTTTCTTCAGTAAATAATGGGAGAAGATAACTATCCAAATCAGTCTTTCAGTCCAGGTTCTACAGAGTTTCTTCTTTTTTCAACAACTCTGTAACTAATAATTTTTTTTAATACTAAATTTTGCTACAAGTATTGCATCATTTTATTGTGCAGAATTTATATTAGTATTGTAATTTTACCTTATCATATTAGCAAGTTTTATAATTTGATGATTACTTAAGGAAAGAGAATTCTGTATACAAAGAAGTTTTGTGAGTAAAATTAGTTGTTTTTGGAGTATTCTCAGATCCAATAGATAATTTTAGCTTACTAACTCCTGTCTTCAATGAAATGGTGTTACCACTTTCACTGCATAGCTTTTCTTTAATAACGTGGGAAGCCATTTGTTCCTTGAAATCTAAATAAAAGCTTGCTAAGGTTCAAAAGCTTACTAAGGTTAAATTAAAATCATCATTTTTGATTTATTAATCTTTTTTCATTTCAAACATTTCTTTCACTTATCTCTCTATTAGTAACGCAAAATAATACAGCTTTTTTAATACCTTGATATCCTGGTGCAGCTGATATGTTGTTTCTGAAAAAATAATTTACATAGAAATTGTTTTCTATAGAACATGTTATACAATCTTTCAAAGTCAAATATTCAAAGTTATAAACACGTTTTCTACCTGAGCGTTGTTGGATTGCATTTATGATGCAATCCTCTTTTAACTTTAATCAGACAAAAACTACACCGCGGACTAACAACTGCCGTTTTAAAACTTTTTATACCAGATTTTTTCTTGGGTATCCTTCCCTGCGTTCTTGCAATTTTACATATTTCACAGCTACAAGTTTTTAGTTTCCTAAAATTATAAAAAAAAATTATAATTTTGCATTTCTTTACAACAGAAATATAATTAAAACAGCATTTTACCCGTTTCGTGTTTTAGCCGGAAGAGTCATCTTTGACCAGTCAATGTCAAACCTAATTTTCTGTCTGAGGTCAACCACATTTGTTCTTTCAACTATACCCCTACACCTTAAATAGATAAAAATATGCTAGTATCAAGCAAAATGTGATTTGATTCATTTATTAAATCTTATTTCTTTGAGTTTAACAAGGTATCCCATTTTTCAGTTATGTGAATGCACATTACTGAAAAATTGGATACCTCGTAGTAAAAAGTAAATATGTCATAAACGTAAAACCATTCATTAATGGTTTAACATTTATGACATATTTACTTTTTATATATTTACTTGAATAAAAATCAATCAAGTATACCAACCTTGGACACAATCCAGTAGGATATCGGTCATCAGCAATGTTATAATCCGAAAAAAAAGCTCTGAAATTTAGAAATTAAATGGCTTTTGCTATTTATTTTCATATGACATTTGCGACCACAAAAAAGGCATACTTTTTCTCTGTTCTTTTGATGATCTAAAATAGTCTGAGGATGTGATTTACCAATTCTTAACATTTTTTTAACAAAATTTGTTCTATGATTGTCTTTTGCAATTAAATCAGTGGCAGAAAAAATGGCGGATTAAAGATGGCCGTAAAAGACAAAAAAGGCGCGAAAAAAAGGCGCGAAAAAATCTTTAAAACCTCATAATTACTTAATAGGAGTTTTCTGATTTAGTGGACTATATACATAGTGATAAGTAAACTATACTCTCTCAGAAAACGTTGAAGTTAATTTGGACACAATTCAAAAAACCTAACATTAGTTAAGGCTAACCGTGCCCTCATTTTGTTGATATTTAAGGAAAATGAACTTTTGAAAGTTAAAAGATAACCCCTCATTTTGCTGATATTTAAGCAAAATGAAACTTTTGAAAGTTAAAAGATGATCCGTTATTTTGCTAATATTTAAGTAAAATGAAACTTTTGAATGTTAAAAGATAACCCCTCGTTTTGCTAATATTTAAGTAAAATGAAACTTTTGAAAGGTAAAAGATTACCCCTCATTTTGCTGATATTTAAGTAAAATGGACTTTTGAAAGTTAAAAGATAACCCCTCATTTCGCTGATATTTATGCAAAATGAAACTTTTGAAAGTTAAAAAACTTTTGAAAGTTAAAAAACTTTTGAAAGTTAAAAGATAACCCCTCATTTTGCTGATTTTTAAGCAAAATGAAACTTTTGAAAGTTAAAAGATTATTCAATGAAAAAAAGTGTCGATGAATTTAAATTTAGTATAATATAATAATTTGGAGTTTTGGGCTCATCAAAATTGTTGCCAAATAGTTTAAGGATGTTTTATGTATGATTTTTATGATCTAAGATTTTATTCTTAAATTAGTTACCAGTTTAATAATATATACCATGTTTTTCCTACTTAGAATATTTTCCTATTTAAAATATTTACATTATTACAGGAAAATAATTACTTTATTTAGGAAAATAATGTCTGAACATGTTTAAATGACTAATGACATGCATTTCTTCAATTAAGTTTTACAACCAATGAGTACCTGCTGCTCTTTAACTGTCCTGTTTTGCCCCACCTACTTGCAAAAGTTGAAAAATTTGCTAGTTTAGAGTTTCCTTATTTGTATTTTCATTTTCTTATATCAATGAACTTTAAGAAACTTATAAATAATAGTGTTATTTATGATTACTTTATCCGCAACTAGTTTCTTAAACGTCCGCAACTAGTTTATCTTTCTTGCATTTGTTAAGTCCTTGACGTCAGTTTACGTCAATAGATGTCAGTTTTAACCTTTTAAATATAAGTTTTAACAAAGCAACAAGCAAGTTTTTGTACAACTTTATTAGAGCTTTATGTGCAATATGACATAAACTCGGTTGCAAAACATAAAAAACAGGTATTATTAATAAAAAGATAAATAAATTGCATTTGAAAATATAAAAAACAAAAAATAGGGAGATGTTTTGTTGCTAGCAGGTTGTTAAAGCAAAAATTTTAAAACCGAAAAGATGTTAAAAGCGACAAAATGTGCAGCGAAACTGTATCACGTTGCATTAACAAAAGTTTTGTATTTCATTTGTTTTCCTAAATACATTGTAGGTTGATTTTGGTATACCTGTGACAATAAAAAAAGATATATATGAAAAATGTCTTCTTGGCAACTAAAAGCTAATAACAAAGCAATATACCTGCTTAAAATCGGTGCTTGATGCAATCAACAGATTCATAGCAGACAAATTATTTGGTGCTCGATGCAATCAACAGTATGATTCATAGCAGACAAATTAATTGAAAACGATTATAGTTATCCAGTTATAAAAATATAAAACTTGCAAAAAAACGCAGGTAAATAATTCTTTGTTAAAAAAGAGCAGAGTTAAAACAAAAACGTGGTTTTTTGAACAAAATAACAATTTTGTTCAAATACTGAAAAAATTGCAAAAAAAAGGTAATGTAAAATTTATAAAAATCTAATTAAGGTCTTCAAAAGTTAATATTTCAAACTCACCCCTGCGTTTATCTTGTGCAGTAGTAAACCGTTCGGTTACTCTCGAGTCCCTAAAAATAGAAGGGGGGACGTTTACTAATTTTCCCACCCACCCCAAGCTTATTAAGACCCCTCCTCCCGCTTATTAATTTTCACTTTTTATCACAAAAAAAATCAGTCTTACAAATTAGAAAATAATCATTTCAGTCACTGATAACACAAAAATTTTCAGTGCAAGCAGGCTTTAAAAACTACCGACCAAATAAATCTCGATTTAATGGAAATGAGCTTTTAATTTATTTCTTACCAAAGTATAAAACTTGTATCAACATATTAAACCCTATTGAAATTATTATAAAATAGTTGTTAGAAAATGTGCATTTGACCGCAAGCCACGCTAGGTTTAAATAGTTTTATGTTTTTTTTGTAAAAAGTATTAGGATTTATTAACTAAAATTTTTTAAAATAAAAACTTAAACTAGAGTGGCTCATAATTATTGATGTCTCTCTTCTAACGCCAGTTAGAAAAGCGTTGCTCTTAGGATAATATGATTTTCTCAAACTACTTATCAAAAGGGTCAGAAGAACACAGTTACCTTGATAAATCTTCATTTATTTTTGACCGCGAACACTGGAAAATGATTCATAAAACTTCTTAAAGTTTTTTATTTTGAGCTTTGTGTCTTCACTGAGCATACCATTAGACAAAGTCATTTTCTCTATAACTTTCCAAACATGAATAAAAATTTGATGCAAACATTGTGACATATAATACCATGGATACAGAGTTACATACTTTTCAAACTGTTTTGTAGCAGTATTCTCTAAATAGTAAAAAGTGTATTAGAAAGCTAGATGACCATGTACACAAAATAACATGTAGCATCTTTATCTTACTGACATCAAGTTTATAAATTTGAGCAAACTTTTCTGCATTCTAAAAAAATTCTTTATCAGTTTTTCCACAATTTGATGACCCAGAGCCACCAAACATTGGCATATCAATTATCAGTCCAACTTCATCACGAAACCTTATTTGAATTTTCTGTTTTCATCCTTGAATAATTTTCTTTTCAAATGGTGTCTTTGTAAACCACTTTAGCAACTTTGTAATAAATAAACTAGCTTCTTCTAACATATTTCTGTTTTCTTTCTCAACTGTTAACTGAGTATAAATCCTTTGGCTCGTTGATCCATCAAACCGAACTTCAGAATGTAATATTAGTCTTTCAAGACCAGTCATGGAATCGATAACTTGTTTCAGCAACTAGTTGCTGAAACAAGTATTAGGTTTATATATATGTATTAGGTTTATATATATGTATATACAGTATCGGACAAAACAAGTGCAACCATATAATGCTAATTTAGTTTCTTTATATAAAAGTGCTGCATTTTTTCAATTTAGAGAAATAACAATTTAGAGACAACGTTCTTCAAGTTTTATTCATCACAAAGTTCATTATTTGTACACGAAAATTAATAAATTAATCAAAAGTATTAAAAAAAGTTCATTTCCTTCTGGACAAAACAAGTACAACTCCACAAAATGTTGACCAAGTTGTATTTCGCCATCAATATTTCGTGGCGAATCCTTTGTTGTCGATCACAGCCTTGCATCTTCGAGGCATAGATTCGATCAGGTGATCAATGAAACTTTGTGGAATCGCTTCCCCAGCCTTTTGGATTTGTTGAAACAGTTGATCCTTATTACGAACACCTTCACGATTAATTCTGCGGTTGATGATCCCCACAGGTTCTCGATAGGGTTGAGATCCATAGATTGAGGCGGTCAATCCATCACCAATAGGTGGTTGTCTTGAAACCACTGCTTGACTACTTTTGCAGTGTGTTTCGGGTCGTTGTCTCGCTGAAAAACCCATTTTATTGACATACTTTATTCAGCATGAGGTAACATAACATCATTCAGGATATTTTTATTCATGAAACGGTCCATTATTCCATCGATTCGATGTATTGGGCCTAGACCGTTTGCAGAAAAACACCCCCAGACCATTACATTGACTCCACCATGCTTCACCACGGTCTTATGGTAGTAACGTAAATCGAGGCGTTTTCAGGCCGGTCGACGTACACGACAAATGCCATCGCTCCCAATGATGTTGAACTTCGATTCATCACTGAACAGGACAGTTCGCCATTTCTGCATATTCCAGTCAATATGTAATGAAGCAAACAGGAGTCTTTTCTTCTGGTTTTTTAGTGAAATCAGCGGTTTCTTTGCAGGGCGTCGAGAAAACAATCCGGCTTCAACAGCACGTCGTCTGATTGTTTGGTCCGATACAGGCAGCTCTAATTGCTTTTGTATCTCAACTGATGATATCCAGGGATCGTTCTTGACAGATCTGACGATCATAAAATCCTCTTTAGAAGTGGTGGAACGCGGTCTTCCACCTTTGTTATCTGCAGCCAACTTCCCCGTAGAACGATATTTGAAACATAGTCTTGATACGGTCCATTTTTTCACGCGATATTTATCACAAATACTTTTTTGTGACATTCCACTTACGTAATTGCCAATAATTTTCTTTCTTAGTTCCAATCCAAGACTGTCGGGAGCCATTTTTGCACTTGAAGTCATAAAAATAATAAAAATGAATGATCACGCTTCTCGAGGCTTACCGTGTTACATTTACCTTATGATGATACAATAATGCTCTGTGGAACACAACGTCTTGGTTGGATGTGGACTGTATTGATGTAATGAAATACTTGTTGTATTTCACTTTATGTATTAATGTTCTTTGATAAAACATTTTGATAAAACTCATTTCGATAAACTGTCTTGATAATACTGACTGATTGACTTCCATATACTGACTGAATTACACGTCGGTTTACATGTCTTTTATATAGTAAAATGAACCTGTGTGAACCTGTTCTGGAAGATTCTAGATGCTTCTTTTCGATGCTTCT